TTAAAATTCTAAATTCCTTTTAAAATTAAACAGTTTTTAAAATAATTCTAACATTTTTTAAAATCAACATTCAAATATTTTTTTATTTTAAAATTCTAACTCATTTTTTTTAAACTTAAAACTCTAATTTTTATTTAACTTGAAACTCTTATTTTCTTTGCTAACTTTTTAAATTTAAATCCCAACACTTTTTTAATCAAATCCAATCCCAATGAATTCCAGATGGAGCAAAATCAAATCAATCAAATCATATCATCATCATAAGAAAATCAGATCTAAATATCAACATCACCATCATTGAATCAAATCTGAAATCATCATAAAAATTCATTCAAATCAAATCAGAGATTGAAAAAGATTGAGATATTCAAATCAAATCTGAGATTGAAAAAGATTTAAAAATCAAGTATAAAAGGACCCTCAGAAGCAACAAAACGGGGGGATCGGCAAGCATCAAAGACTCTTGCAGTCTTCATCAAAAGTAACTAACTCTTCTTTTTTTAATTTCTAATCTTTTTTATATCTTTTTTTTCAAAATTTCTACCATTTTTTCTTAATTAAAATTCTAACATTCTAACTCTTTTTTTATTAAAATTCTAACCTTTTCTCTTTTATTTTCAAGCTTTTATTTTTATTTTCTAACCTTTTTTTTAAAAACCAAATTTCGAAGTTCTAATTTTTTGCTAACTTTTAACTCTAACTTTTTAATCTAACTTTTTAATCACATTAAAGTTCTAACTTTTCCAAATCTCACAAAAAAAACCTAATTCCATTCTAACTCTTTTCTTATTACCTAAATTCTCATCGTCTCAAAACGTTCATCACTTAACTTCTAATTATTGTCAATTCCAATTTTCATCCTTCATTCTAACAGTATTCTTGATTATCCATGAACCTGTTCACTAATATTTATTTATTTATTTTTGTATTTATTTTTATATTTGTACATAATCTGACATCATCGTTGCTATTTCATATTCCATTATCACTTGTATATTATCGTCATCTTCTTTGCATATTAATTTTCATTGTTTATTAATTTTTCGCTAACATCCTCATTTTTAAGATCCAAATTTCTAACTTTTTTTCTTGTTTCGTTAAAATTATAATTTTCTACTTAAATTCCTAACATTCCCGTCTAATTTTTTGTCTAACCCCGTATAATAACAGTCTCTGTTTGTTTTAGTTTTTTTGCAGCTGACTAAGTTCAATTGATTTTATTTTCAGTTTAAATATTCAATTATCATATTTGTAACTGCTTATGGGGTGTAATTTTGCGAGACAATTATCGCATTTATCTTTCCGCACTTTATGTTCTGCCATTGTATGTTTATCGCGTCTTTACCAATAATTTCACTCCTCCGAAGGAATTAGGTCTAACCGTTTGGTCGCCGCGCCAATAGTCCTCAACTTCAAACCCTTTCACCTTACAAACCCTAATTTTTCACAAATGCCTCGCCGCAGGCAAAATTACCATTTTACCCCTAGCATTAGGTCAAATAGCCGCCGCGCTCATTTTAGGGTTTCCTGCCGTGGAATCCCTAATTTCAACTTAACATTTCAACGTAGAAATTTGGAGTTCCTACACTCCGCGTAAGCGTGTCCTTAAGACGCGTTTATTCCCCTTGAGACCTTGACCACAGTCAAGAAGTCTCTAACCTCCCTTTTGAGAGGAACTACGATTACTCTGATTCCATTCCCGTAAGGATACGTAGGCACAAGATGCGATGTCTTGCCGAGTAAACTTAGAATTAACCCCCTTAGGTCTCTTTTCTCACTTTTAATCTTTTGTACATATACCTTAAGCAAATAAATAAAGCAAAATAGTAAACATCTGAACAAAAGGTTCCTGTAGAGTACTACAGAAGTTTAGGGTGCTAATACCTTCCCTAAATTTAACCAACCCCCGAACCCTAGATCTTTCCCCGCATTGTGTTTACGATGCAAAAATAGGTTTTCCCTCTTTTGACCTTTTCCTTCGGATAAATCAAAGAGCGGTTGTGAATTGAATTGCGATTCAAACTCATTAATAGTTTGTGATCCTATTTCCACCGCAACAATGTGTAACTAAAAACTTGGAACAAGTCCACTATCGAACAAACATGAGTATTGAAAATGGAAGAGAAAAGTATTATGCATTATCGTAGCTCTCACAAAATATTTGATTGTAGGCGAGGGAGATTTCTCCTTCTCACTTTCCTTGGCAAGGGCATTTGGCTCAGCTGTTTACATTGTTGCTACCTCTTTGAACACTAGAGGTACATTTTGAAAACCCTATTTTATTTTATAAATAAGTTTGCTACATTCTTATTTATTAAACTACTAATGGTGCTAATTTATTGTCTCCTTTTATTTGAAAATTTCAATACCGCAAATTTGAAGAGTCTCTAGTGCTGATATATGGAAGTGCATCAAGTAACTTGAGTAAACTTGAGAATCTTGGCTGCACCATCTTGCACAATGTGGATGTTCATAACATGAAAGAACATAATTTTCTCAAGAACCAAAAATATGATCAAATCATCTTTAACTTTCCCCGTGCTGGTTTTGTTTGGCGTGAAATTGATGAGATCCAAATTCAATAAGTTATGCAAAAAAAACATGTACTACTATAGTCCTGTTTTTTCACCTTTTACTTTATATATCAACACTTCATTCATATTAAACACATTTATATAGCCAGTACATTAATATTTTATCCATCAATATATTGATTAATAATGCAGGTCTCACAAAAGTTTAGTGAGTGGATTTCTAGAAAATGCTAAAGAAAAATGGTTTATATTGGTGGAGAAATTCATATTTCTCACAATACAAAAAGCTACCAGAATACCCTATACAACTTGAGGAAGTTTTGACCTACACAACTTGAGGAAGTTTTGATTTTGGAAGAACGTGTTGGTGAAGCCAAAAGATTAGCAGCAACTAGAAGACTACAAAATTGATTATGAAAGGCTCATTATGATACTAGAAGACCATAAGTGATTTTCTTTATTGTTGCTAACTGGAAGTAATGTTTAAGCTTTTGTAGATGTTCATGTCTATCCTCTAAGGAAAAATCATACCAAAGATTTCTTCGGCCATCGGTAGAAAATCTTGGACCATCATTTGGTGTGGAAATTGGGCAGAATATCTTGGATCATCATAGGTTGTACAATTATATAGATTATATTGTATATATCAAGTTATAGATTATGACATTTGATCATTTAGATATTCATAAGTATATATTTAGTAGAAAATATAATAAGTTATTTAGAAGAGTGATATAATGAAATATCAATTGTTTTTTTATGTTATATAAATTTATGTATTTGTTATATGTGAGTCTTTATATATTTGATATACGTGAGTCTTTATATATTTGATATATTACCAAAAAATAATAATAGTTTAAATTAAAAAAAACTATTATAAAAAAAATAAGATGAAAGTAATTTAAATAAAAATAGAATATTATAAAAAAAATTCTATAGATAAAATTGCGACGGTTTAAACGGTCGCAGCTAGCATAAATAATATTTAGAATTAGTAAATATAATTACGACGGTTAAAAACCGTCACAATATGGAGATTAAGACAGTTAGCTACCCTTCGTGAAAATAAATAATATTTAGAATTAGTAAATATAATTGCGACGGTTGAAAGCCGTCACAATATGGAGATTACGACAGTTAGCTACCCGTCGTGAAAATAACGACGGTTTGTACGACAGTTTTCACAACCGTCGCAATACGGCCTCACGACGCACGTTTCTGCAACGGGGTTGAAACTGTCGTAACTTACAAATTGCGACGGTTAAAAGCGTCGTAATATGTCAAAATGAACCGTCACAATTTTCCATTTTTCTTGTAGTGACGATTATGGCATTCCTCTCGTTCAGGTACTTTCATGCTTAGACTTGGCCCAGGAACAGGCAATAGCTGTGGACGTGGAGATTCTGAAACCAAAGACTGTAAGATACGCCTCTGACCTGATGCCACTTCAGGGGAGAAAATAGAAATATCCGCTTCTTTCACCACAACTGGGAAAATACCACCTTGTACGCTCATACAGCCCGACGTGAATTCAACTGTCTTTGAATCGATTAAGTCCATGACCTTGGTGCTTAAAGGCCTTGCATTTCTCCATATTATACCCCGGTATCCCATAATGGAAATCACAATAGGCACTTTCATCATAGCCTAGTGGAGGCTTACCAGTAAATGGAGTCAGAGTCTGAAGTTCAACCAATTGAAGTTGAAGCAAACGTTTCAGCAATTGAGCATAAGTCAAGGGAGTTGGTCAAAGATTCTTTCAGGCTGCTTCGGCCTCTGTGCATAACTTTCAATCTTAGGATTATCTTGGAAAACAGGAGACGGCTGTTGATGGGGAAGTTTTGGAACCCCAAGTCATGCAAAAGATCTACGAGACACATCACGCTCTGGGAGAGATTTCACAAGTAAGGGTAGAACGACCATTTCTGCTGCAGTTTTAGGCATAAGGTTGCCTTCATTTCTTAGCATGTTTCTCATGATTTCCATGATTAGACCCATCTGAGTCTTCAGTTGATGAACTACCTCCCAAAACATTTTCTGATCCTGCAAAAAAAACTTGCATGTCCACCATTTTCTGATCTTGATATATATATGATTAGTATCGATTTAATCAATAAAAAATCTTCTTTGTTCAATTTAAATTAAACTAGTTTTTTTTACATAATTTTTTAGTTTTTGATAGTAAGAAAAGTTTAAAAATTATGTAATAATGTGATGTTTGGATATAAGGAATATATAGAATATATGTTTTAAAACTCATGATAAAGAATATGCATGGGTAAAATTGGAAATTGATCTTCTATTTCTCTTTATTTCTTGTGTGACCACAAACATTTCCTTCCATTTAGTACGTAAGAAATCTTATCCATAGCAGAAGAAGGAGTGAAGCTAAGAAATATGCAAACTAATATTAAGGCCCTCTTATAAGCCATTGAAGGCCAAAAAAACATCACAAAATTAACCATGGCCACAAGTTGTTCCTCCATGGTTTCCACCAAATTATCCATACTAGGTTGGACAGGAGGTGGAAGAAGAAGAGAACCAAAATCCAGAACTCCATTTTTCATATCATGTCAACAACAATCCGATGTTAAAGACTCCGAAGGTGTGAAGGTAATAGAAGAGAAAGAAATACCACAAAACCAACGAATCAATCCAAAAGGAACAGAACCAAGACCAGTTGAACCTCAGGTGAATGTAAAAAACAAAGGTATGAGCAGGGAATATGGAGGACAGTGGTTGAGCTGCGCGACACGACATGTTCGAATCTATGCTGCTTATATCGATCCAGAAACCAGTGATTTTGATCAATCGCAGATGGATAAGCTTTCACTTATTCTTGATCCTACTGACGAGTTTGTGTGGAAAGCTGAGAGTTGTAACTTGGTTTATTCTTACTTTCAGGAGCTTGTCGATCACTACGAGGTAGTTTCCTTAAACATAATCAAATTCACACTAGATTTTTTGTGTCTTAGAATAGTGTCACAATGATGAATGTTTTTTATGATTGGAAATAGGGTGCTCCATTGAATGAATACACACTTCGACTGATTGGTTCAGACATAGAGCACTATATAAGAAAGTTGTTGTATGATGGAGTGATCAAGTATAATATGAACGCAAGGGTTTTGAATTTCAGCATGGGGAAGCCACGAATCATGTTCAATAACAATGATATCCAACCTGAAGATTCCACTTGAGGAATCTTTTGTCAAGAAAAGTGATCAAATCATTGATGTTTTTGTGTATGATGAATCGGTTACATATATTTTTACAATTATTAGTTCTTTAATTTGTAAATTACTACTTCTATAAGATTAAGTATGAAAAATGATAGAAGAAACACTCTCATTGACTGCATTTGAGATCATTTGATTTATACTTTGCTAGTATTAGAACATAAAAGTGAATGATGAAAAAATTGAACATTTCTCATTTGATTGAATAATTCTCATATGAATAAAGAAGAGGAGTATTGGGAAATAAGTGTGAGTTGTGTTGAGAATTAAGTATGAGTTTTAAGTCTCACATTTGCATAGAAAAGGGGAGGTTAAACACTTTATAAGTAAGAGGACTCATACACTTATCACTTTAAGGCTTTGTGTGAATATGTGGTGTCTCTCTCACTTGTTTGGATGAGTTTTTGACCTTTAGGTGAGTGTTTAATCCAATGTGTATGCTTCCCCCTCATGATGGCCCATCAGTGGTATCAGAGTCGTGGCTCGAGTAAGGGACCGATTCCTTGTGTCGAAAGTTTTCCTGACATGTTGGTCAGGCGGCATGTTTCGTTGAATTGTCCATGATGAGATAATGATGTCTCTCAACGGCGGTACAAGCATGTGGATGAAAGAACTTTCACTTAAGGGGAAGCTGAGTGGATGGACTCACACTTGAGGGGGAGATTGTTGAGAAACAAGTGTGAGTTGTATTGAGAATTCAATATGAGTTCTAAGTCTCACATTACTTAGAAAAATGGAGGTTAAACACTTTATAAGTAAGAGGATCCATACACCTATCACCTTAAGTTTTGGGGTGAATATGTGGTGTCTCTCTCACTTGTTTGAGTGAGTCTTTGACTTTTAGGCGAATATTTGACCCAATGTGTATGCTTTCCCCTCGTGATGACATCTTTAACACAACTAAAGGAGTGCTACAAAAGCTTCATATTGTAATTGAAATAATAAAAAATAGGAAAATAGACTAATTAAAAACTAAATTTTAAAATAGGATAATTGATCCCCAATGAAATTCTGGTATGCAATCTCAGATGTCCTAAACACAATGAAAACAAGGAGCACAATAAAAATTTCAGAAAGTAAACAAACACACAGTAATTGTTAGCCCAGTTCGGTGTACAACAACACCTACGTCTGGGGGCTACCAAGTCAGGGACCCTTCTCAATGCCCTTTCAATCACAACAGTGACAGAAATTACAACTCAATGCAAACAGTTCAACTCTAGTATCAACACGATACAAGAAAGGCTCACAAATACAAAAACTCTAAAAGTCACTAAGCAACAACGTATTTCCACACTTTGATTAGGTTAAATTCCTCTAATTTATAACCATAAACTAGACTGGATTTGAGCTTCAAAAATACAGCAATTCTGTTACAGAGAATCTGCAACTTATTCTCCCCCTCAATTAGTTCCTTCTTCTATAGCAAGTGGTTAACACTCTCCCCTTCAACAACAGCCAGTGGTTAGCAGTGGTTAGTTAAGTTAGTATTACTCTCTCTTTTTAGCCATAATATGAAAAAGGTAGTTAAATAAGTAAACAACCAAACATTAACACAAGCAGAACAAGAGTTTAAAGTACAGATCAAGCACATGAAGTGCCAAAAATATCTTGGGCATTTAGCCCTTACAAAACATAACCACAAAAAAATAAATACTACTAACAGACATCGTCTTCAGTAGCCTCATCAGCAACAACATTTGATGTGACAATGTCTTGGACATGATCACTAGCAAATAATTTATGATGCAAAGTCAAAGGAGACCCCATTTTCATGACTTTATCATCATTCATCAAAATACCAGTATATTGTTGAAGAATTATGCTACAAATGAGAGTTGGCTTTGAAAACCTCTCTTAATTTGGTGGGAACACACATACACTCACTCGAATAGTATTCCCACACCAAATTAACTACTATAAATCTTTAGACAGGAAAATACCAAGTTTACCCCTCAACACCTCAAAATGATTAGCATCTAAAGCTTTAGTAAAGATGTCAGCTAGCTTATTCTCTGTGGAAACATGCTCCAATGTTATAACTTTGTCTTCCATAATATTTCTAATGAAATGATGTCTGATGTTAATATGTTTGGTTCTACTGTACTGAATAGGATTCTTTGAAATATTGATGGCACTCAAGTTATCACAGAATAATGTCATGACATCTTGTGTGACATTATACTCAGTCAGCATTTGCTTCATCCATATCATTTGAGAACAACTGCTACCTGCTACTATGTACTCAGCCTTAGCAGTAGATAGAGAAACACAATTCTACTTCTTACTTAACCATGAAATCAAGTTGTTTCCCAAAAAGAAACATCCTCCAGAGGTGCTCTTCCTATCATCAGCACTACCAGCCCAATCAGCATCACAATATCCCATCAACATGGAATTATAATTATGAGAATACAACAGACCATAGTCACATGTACCATTCACATACTTCAAAATCCTTTTGACTTGATTTGATATGACTGACTTTAGGTTCAACTTGATATCTAACACAAACTCCAATAGCAAAAGTTATGTTAGGCCTGCATGCAGTAAGGTATAGAAAACTCCCAATCATGCTTCTATACAAACTCTGATCAAGACTAACACCCTTTTCATCCTTAGACAACTTCAAGTGTGTAGGAGCAGGAGTCCTTTTGTGGCTAGCATTCTCCAAACCAAACTTCTTCACAATACTCTTTGCATATTTCCCTTGACAAATAAATAAGGAGTCTTCCATCTGTTTGACTTGGAGACCAAGAAAGTAGGTTAACTCACCCGCCAAATTCATCGCAAACTCAGATTTAATTTGCTTGATAAAATGTTGAACTATCTCATCTAACATCCCTCCAAACACAATATCATCTACATAGATTTGAGCTATCATGAGTTTGCCATCCTTCTCTTTAACAAAGAGAGTTTTATCAATTCCACCTTTTTTGTATCCATGGTTAATGAGGAACTCATTTAGCCTCTCAGTTAGCCTCTCATACCTTTTTTGTATCCATACAAGGCCTTATTTAATTTAAACACATGATCTGGAAATGTAGGATCAATAAATCCTTTTGATTGTTCCACATATACTTCTTCATTCAAGTATCCACTTAGAAAGGCACTCTTAACATCCATTTGAAACAGCTTGAATTTCAACAAACAAGCCACTCCAAGTAACAATCTAACAGCCTCCATCCTAGCAACAGGAGCAAAAGTTCCATCAAAGTCTACCCTTAAATTTGAGTGTACCCTTGAGCAACAAGTCTAGCCTTGTTTCTGGTAATCACACCTTGCTCATCAGACTTGTTTTTAAACACCCATCTTGTACCAATACCATTTGACCCTTAAGGTATTGGCACAAGATCCCAGTCCTTATGCCTTTTGAACTACTACAGTTCCTCTTACATAGCATTGATCCAAAATTCATCAATCAAGGCCTCCTTGACATTCTTGGGCTTCAATTTTGAGACAAAGCAAGCACCAGTAACAACTTCTCTTGATCTGGTCATTCTTCCACCATTAGAATCTCCTATTATAAGCTCCTTAGGATGATATTTCTAAATTCTGATGGAGGGTCCCTTGTCTACTGTCTCAGTCTCTACAGGTTTAGGATTAACAAAGTCTGCAGCATCTTCAAGAACATCATGCAATGTTCTAACATCTTCGGTGACATCTTCAGAAACATAACTCATGATAAAGAATGTTCCAATATCATTTATGACAGCAACTTCTGTAGTTGAGTCATCAACCACAACATTTATAGATTCCAACACAACATTAGTTCTGGAGTTGATTACTCTATAGGCTCTACTATTTGTAGAGTATCCCAGAAAGATTCCTTCATCAATTTTAGGATCCATATTTCTCCTTTGCTCACGGTCAGTCAAAATGTAACGTTGCTTCCAAAGACATGGAATTACTTCACAGTTGGCTTTCTTCCTTAGCTCATATAAAATAGCAGATGTGCCAGATCTGATGGTTACTCTATTCAAGATATAACAAGAAATATTCATGGCTTCAGCCCAAAAATGATATGGAAGTTTCTTGGCATGAAGTATGACCCTTGCACATTCTTGAATTGTCCTATTCTTTCTCTCAACCACACCATTCTGTTGAAGAGTGATGGGTGAAGGAACTCATGACTAATTCCTTCAAAGGAACAGAAATCATCAAAGTTGATGTTTTCAAATTCCTTCTCATGGTCACTTCTAATTCTAACTATGCCACAATCCTTCTCTCTTTGAAGTTTTTGACAAAGTTCTTTGAACACTTAAACACCTCAGACTTCTCTTTGATGATATTCAACCAGGTGAATCTTGAGAAGTCATCAACTACAATATAAGCATACATTTTTCCTCCAAGACTTCCAACCTGCATAGGTCCCATCAAGTACATATGAAGTAGCTCCATAATTTTTGAAGTGGTTATATTTTGAAGCTTTTTATGTGACATCCTTGTTTGCTTTCCAATTTGACATTCACCACAGACTCTTCCTTCATCTATTTTCATATTAGGACTACCTCTGACAGCTTCCTTTGACAAGACTTCCTTCATTCCCTTCAAGTGTAAATGGCCAAGTTTATGATACCACATCTTCACCTCATCTTCTTTTGACATCAAGCAGATGGAAAAACACTTTATTTCTAGAGGAGCCCACAAGTAACAATTATCTTTAGATCTGACTCCCTTTATGATAACTTCATCTTTATCATTTGTTACCTGACACTCAAATTTAGTAAAGTCAACCTTGAGACCTTGGTCACATAGTTGACTAATACTTATCAAATTAGCAGTCATCCCTTTGACAAACAACACCTTATCAAGACTAGGTTGCCCAGTATAGTCCAGCTTTCCAACACCCCTTATTTCACCTTTTGATCAATCTCCAAAGGTGACATAGCTAGTGGAATGTGGTTTAATATCCACCAAAAATTTCTTGACACCAGTCATGTGTCTAGAACAACAACTAT